CCCAGCTTCCATCCCTCTACACATTCTGTAGGACCAGCTGCTTCTATAACGACTGTCCTGCCCTTGGCCCCCGTGGCGGTCACATGCAGGGAGGCTGCCCTCTCTCCCGCCGCACTTCTTGTTGGTTAGTTGGTTCCTCCCGCCCTTCTTTCCGAGAGGATTCTCAAGCACCTGGTCTGCTAGGTACTGCTCTGAGTACTCGGACGTGGTTTTAGTGAATGCCCTTGGCGTCCTGAAATAGAGAGCCTATTTTACTGTACAAATGAGAAAACAGGTTCAAAGAGGGTGAGTGATACATAAAAATAAACTGGGACCACTCTCAGAGCTGGCTTGGCATTTTTATGTTTTATCTGTACTTTTTTTTTTATGATAAATGAGATTAAATGTGGCCCACCTTTTCATTCACTACCATTTATCATTTTCCTGTGTCAGTAAAACTCTTCCCATGCCTTTTATCCCAATGAATGGATGGAGCACTTAGTCAACCCGGTTCCTGGACATTTACGTCGTGTCCACTTTCTCTGCTGTCGGTGACGTAAGCTTTGTTGCATGGGGATGTTGTCCACATTCTGGACTATTTCCTCAGGCTGGATTCCAGGAAGGGGACCACTGAGTCACAGGATGGCGATTGCGTATTCGCTCACTCTGTGTATTATACACCTGCGTGGGCCAGGCTCATGCCAGGCTCTGAGGACACGGCGGAGGTGAGACAGGACCTGTCCTTGCACATCAGAGGCTCCTGTCTTGCCAGGGCCTTTTCGAGCCAGCAGCACAGCCCAGGCTCGTCTCCACTGTGTGCCAAAGCCCAGGGCTCTGGCCCCTGGTAACCAGCCGTTATCTCCTGTGTCCTCAGACTGACACGTCCGACCCAGAGAAGGTGGTCTCCGCCTTCCTGAAGGTGTCCTCTGTGTTCAAGGATGAAGCCACAGTGAGCACGGCAGTTCAAGATGCAGTAGGTAACGTGGGGCTGGTGGGGTTCGGATGGCTCCTGCCTCTTCGCTGCTCCAGGGCTCGGGACATTTCTGGTTGTTGGAACCCCCCTGCTCCAGTGTTAACGCATGAACTGTTCTGCGGCCCCTCCCACCTGTTCCTCTGTTGGGTTCTTGCATAGAGCAGGCTGGGTGCTCTCCTCTCTCATTTTTGCAGGTGGGGAAACTGAGGCCTTTCCAAAATCCATACAGCTGTAGACAGTTAGGAACTCAGGCCAGGGGGCATTCCACTGCAGGAAGACCAGCTGGTCACAGCCCCACGGCCCTGTGGAGGCGGCCCTCTCAGAGGAGGGGTGATGAGAGCTGAGCCTCTGCACACAGGGTCCCCTCCACCTGGTGGTCCCCCTTCATGGAGGACAGTGCTTTCCCTATATCTTTCTGAAGACATCCTGGGATCTCGGGTCCACCACCCCAAGGCCTGTCGTGACTTTTCCCCTCACCGTTGCGCTCTCTCCGTTACCTCCACTTCAGCATCTTGTCCACGTATATCAGCCTCGAGGGTGGGCCGGGTTCGGCTAGGCAGAGGAGAGGCAGGTGAGGGGCACGGCCCAGGGAAAAGGGTAGAAAGGAGTGGAGACGCTTGTGGTGTTTCCTCCTGGATTGGTGCCCTGTGGGCAGCATGGAGGCAGGAGGGTCAGTGGGGAGCGAGGCTGCGTAGGCAGGTGAGGGCCAGGTGGGGATCTCCAGGTCTACTCCCTGAGGTCCCAACCCCGTGGGCATTTGTGGGAACAAGTTACTGTACCTGGATATTTTCCCAGAATAACCTCGCACAGAAGCGAGTGGCCATGGCTTCTCTGCAGACCCTCGGCCACTCCTCTTTCCTCACCTCCACAAAATGGCTGAAACCTCCTCCAGGGCTGATCTGCCTCACTTAATCTCCACCCCAACTGTGTAAGGTCCCTGAGCCCATTTTACTTGAGAGGCCAGGACAGGGAAGGACCAAGGTGACACAGCCAATAGGCTGAGCCCTTCCCCTAGTGCTAGCTGTCCCCTTAGACTGGTACCTGTGTCCATGCCCCACCCACTTCCTGTGTTCACCTCCTGATTAGGGCAGGAGGCAGGACCCAGCCGTGGGGGGGCGGGGTGTGCTGCATGCCCTTTGACCTGTGGCCAGCCCCTTCCCGCCAGAAGCACCTGCCCCATTGCTGCTTCTGCCTTGCAGATGCCTTGATGAAGAAGGCCTTCAGCTCATCCTCCTTCAACCCCAACGCCTTCCTCACCAGGCTTCTCATCCACATGGGTCTGCTCAAGGTGTGGCTGGAAGGAGTGGGGGGCCCAGGAGTGTGTGTGTGGAGGGAGGTGCACCAGGGTAGGGAGTGCTCTGGCCATGCCCACCTGCCCCACCCCACGAGTCCTGCTGGGGCCTGTCACCCGCACTGTCCTGGGCCTTGGACTCAGCTTGACCTTGGCCAAATGGCCCTCTGAGTAGGGGCTGGATGGTGGAGACCTAGGGCCCCCCAACCTCGAAGCTCACCTTCTCTGTGTGTCCTTGCAGAGTGAAGACAAGATCAAGGCCATTGCCAACCTGTACGGCCCCTTGATGGCACTGAATCACATGGTGCAGCAGGACTATTTCCCCAAGGCCCTTGTGCCCCTGCTGCTGGCATTCATGACCAAGTGAGTATGCCCATGTCAGCTCATGTTGCCAGTGCCCACGCACGCAGGCCCCTGGTGAGCTCAGGCTGCGCTGGCTGGTCCCTTGGGCTTGTGAGAGACTCCCATGCCTCCCAGGCTCTTGGCATCTGTGTTTGGGTCTCACTACCCTTTAGAGGCCGCCTCCACTGTGCCCACCTGAGGACATGACTCAGGGACAGTGCCTTTCCCTGTGAGAGACAGAGGGCATGTAATGGCCCTGGTTTTCCAGATGAGGAAACCCGGGTCACTTTCCTGGAATTTGCCCACGTCGCTCTGCTGATCAAGGGCCTCTGTGCTCGGCGACGTCCCTAGGAGCGGTTCTATGTCTGTTCCCACTGCAATGTAGTCAAAGAGGCCTGGTCACGCTGGCCTTTCCTGGGGACGCCAGCGTCCAGAGACATGGAAACCTTGGCCCCATCCTGGATGATCCCGGGGGCATGGCAGAGCACTGGCCACAGTCAAGTAATGAGGAGTGCCCATGCCTTGGGGCCACCAGGGACGCGTGGGGAGACTTGCCCCTGTCCTCACTGAGGCCCTGTGCAGCCCCAGCTGACCTCTGGCTTTCTGTGGCCTCTGTCTCCTCATTTGCACCAAAAGGTTGGGCAAGGTTGTTTCCAAGGGCTCTGACCAACTAGCACCTTGGGAGAAAATGGGAGGGGGACAGAGGAGAAAGGAAGCTCCCCTTGTCTCCACCACCCCCTTTCCCCCTTGTGCACCTCCCTTAAAAAGTCATTGTGAGAATTAGAAAAATGGAGTCCAGCACATTTCTAGCCTCAGAAATGGCCCCCACCCCCTCTGTTGCAGCCTGAGCTCCCCGGGTCCTAGAAGTGCCCGCCCACCCACTGACCCCTCTCCTTACAGGCCCAACGGCGCCCTGGAGTCCTGCTCCTTCGCCCGCCACAACCTGCTGCAGACGCTGTACAAGGTCTAACCTAGACCCTCGGCCTGGACCAGTGAATTGGGCAGGAACTCGGATGAAGGACTCTGGCTAGAGGCAGGGAGGGTCTTTGTCGCGTGTGTCGTGTCAGTCCCCCGAGTATGTGTGTCGGTGTAGTGCGCGTGCTGGTGTGTGCTTCCTGTCGGGGTTTGGGTTTTTAATGTCTCCCTGCTGGGCTGGCCCTGGTCCCACTGGAGGGGAGCTGGCCCCAGGCCAAAGGGCTGCGAGCTGGGAGCTGCTCTGCCATTAAACTCACAGGTCTGAGGGCCTCTGCTGATCTGTGCCTCAGGCTCAGTCCTGGTGGCTCTGCCCACCCACTTTGCCTTCCTTACTCTCCTGGGCTGCACTAAAGCCTGGGGATTGCTGTCTGTGAGCTGTCCATGAGCTGTCCCCTCCGTCTCTGTGGCGGCTTGGCTGCCATTTCTCGCCCTGCCTGGGGCTCCTCACTTGGCAGCTGCCTCTGCTTCCTGTCACCAAGCCCTGGTCCTGCAGCCACCACAGTCCCCACTGCCCATCCATGCTGTGCTGACCCCTTGGTGTGAGAAGCAGAGACTACCATGGGCAGGGGGGGCAGGGGGTGGTCAGCAGAGGGCAAGACCCTGCTGCCCATGCTGTGTGGACAGGATGAGAAGCCAGTGGGTCCTGGAACAGGCCTTGCCTGGATGGCACTGGTTCTGGACCCAGCGTGGCCCTCCCCTGGCTGCTGAAATGTCTGTGACTGGCCTGGAGGCTGAGCTGGAGGGGGTCCCTGGACAGGCCCTGTTCTCTAGCCTGGGGCAGGGGCAGGGCCCACTGCTGCCTGAGCTGCATCTCAGGCACTCATGGAGGACCTGGGGTGGGGGCACAGTGGGGACTGGTTGCGATGCTCTGGCCCCTCCCTGAGCAGTGGCCCCGTGACGCCCTGTGCTCGCTGCGACGCCCTGTGCTTCCCCCTTCATGCTCTTTGTGTCTGGGCTGTGCCCGGGGCTTCACAAATAAAGTCACATGTGGCAACAGTGGAGACTGAGAAACCTTGCACCTCAAGTGAGCCATTCTCTGGAGTCCCACCCACCTCAGCGCAGGCAGTGGCCCTACCTCAGCCTATAAGGGGCAGTCCGTCTTGCCAAGGAGTCCCTGTGCCAACCTTGTGCCATCACCTGGGGCAGGCCTCTTCCACCCAGGCCTGGAGGCTTCCTCTGTTGCCCGCTCCCCTCTTAACAGCTGGGCAGGTGGTGCCCAGGACGGGGCAGTGACTCAGGGGTGTCAGAGAGGGTGGAGGTCCTGATGGGGCCTGTTTCACTTGCCTGGCCCCACGTCACCTTTGCCTGTCTTTGGGCCACAGCTCCACTGGTCCCCGGATTGCTCCATTCATGGACCTGGTTGGGCTGGACACTGTCCAGATCTCACCACTGGCCCTGCTGGCTGCAGTTAGGAGCCCCTGGGTCTGGCTAGCACAGTCACTTCACAAGATTGGCTTGGAGTGGTGGGCACCTCCCTGAGGTTCTTTCCCCGTTGCCACATGTGGTGGGCCGACAGCCCAGCAGACAGACCCTCCTCGCCACTTACCGTACACAGCAGCACACCTGGGGAGCCTGTGTCACCACAGGAATGAAGAGGTCCCTCCAAGTTTTCTTAGGGGGCAGCCACATTTCCTTATTGTTTGTGGACTACTCAGTGACTCCTTTCTTGGCCAGGTGGCAGAGATGTCTTGCCCTGCTCCTCCCCATACGAGGTGATGTGGCCAGGAGCAGGAGGCGGGCCGGGCAACTGCAGCCCTCCTTACCAGGCCCTGTTCTGAGCTCTGGGGCTATAGGTGCTGGCTTTGGGGAGCTCCCAGTCTGGTGCAGGAAGCCAATAGCCATGGCCCACTGTGGGGACGGTGGGCAGGGAGGTGAGGGAAGCCTTTAGAAGTTAGGGGTGCAAGAACTGAGTCCTGAGATTCAAATAGGACTTCTCACAGGTGATATTTGACAGATGGAGAAACTGGCTCAGGGCCGAGTAGGGGCCTGGCGGAGGTCCTCCAGGCCACCCAGGGCTGGCCCTTATTCCCTCCTAGGTCGGGCGTGTGCAAGCTTCAGCTCAGATTGAGAAGAGAACCACAGATCTCATTTAACCTCATGACAGGCCAGCAGTGCCTGGCTCCTCAAACCTGCGCAGTGAGGATGATCCTATTGGTTCCAGGAGGGCAGGCCCTGACCACCCAGCTCCCATCATCCTTCAGCTCAGCGGCCGGGAAGGTGCAGGGAAGGGCCTGGGGGCCTCAAACTTGCAACTTACTGAGAAAGCCTTTGGGATTGCACGGGTCTGTAAGATCATAGCTGCCTCAGCCTGGGACCCCCACCAGGCTGCTCCCACTGAAGGGAGCTCAACCAGCAATTCCACTGACTAGAAAAGCCCCAGGAAGCAGCACATCCTGATAGCAAGAACCTATAATGACTCAGGCCAATATTGGGGAAATGGATCAAGTCCAAAGCCACACAGTGGAATGGTACACAACAGTGAAAATATGTCAGCTATGGTTATGTGTGAACCACACACACCACAGATGAATCCATGGCAGTGCTGAGTGAAGAAAATCTCAGGGCAATACCATTAGCGAGTAAATGTGTGTTTAGGCTGCAACGATGCTATTATCAATAAAAGAGATGCTAAACCCAGCATTCATGATAGGAGTTATTCCGGGGAAGGCAGGGGACAGGACAGGGTGGAAGCAGCAACATCAAAGAGATCCAAGTCCATCCAACTGATAGCCACATTCTTAAAAAGGAAATAAAACACAGAAGACCATTTTTGGACACACAAAGCACAAACCATAAGGAATTACGCCTATGTCAAAAAATGTAAAGCAATGATGGAAAAGTAACATAAAAGTGATGTTAGTAGAAAGAGACATAGTGACATATATAGTATAAAGGACTAGAGGACAGACATCCGACTGCAAATCGGGCAAAGGACATGAACAAATTCATAGAAGAGGAAACCTGAAAAGCAAACCCCAAAAACATCCCACCTCACTGGTCATCAAGGAAATACAAAGCAAAACCACACGAGACTGGCAAATACCATTGAGGTGACACCAGGAAAGAGATATTACACATTGCTTGAGGGACATCACGCTAATAACCACTTTAGGGAGCAATTTGGCGCGCCAGTGAAGATCCTGGTGTCGCCAGGGGCCACCGCCCCACCCGGTGTTACCGGTATTGTAAGAACAAGCCGTACCCAGTCTCGCTTCTGTCGAGGTGTCCCTGATGCCAAGATCCACATCTTTGACCTGGGGCAAAAGAAGGCAAAAGTGGATGAGTTCCCACTCTGGCCACATGGTGTCAGATGAATATGAGCAGCTCTCTTCTGAAGCTCTGGAGGCCAGCCATATTTGTGTCAACAAGTACATGGTGAAAAGCTGTGCCGAGCACGGCTCCACCCCTTCCAAATCACCCACGTCAACAAGCTGTCCTGTGCTGGGGCTGACAGACTCCAGACAGGTATGCGGGGTGCCTTTGGAAAGCCCCAGGGCACAGTGGCCAGGGTCCATATTGGCCAAGTCATCATGTCCATATGCACCAAGCTGCAGAACAAGGGGCATGTGATTGAGGCTCTACGCAGGGCCAAGTTCAAGTTTCCTGGCTATCAGGAGATCCACATCTCCAAGAAGTGGGGCTTTAGTAAGTTTAATGCAGTTGAGTTTGAAGACATGGTGGCTAAAAAGTGGCTAATCCCAGATGGCTTTGAGGTCAAATATATCCCTAACCATGGTCCTCTGGACTAATGGCAGGCCCTGTCCTCAGGACTCTTGGCGCTGTCCCCTCTTTACACCCACCAATAGACTATAGCTCCTATCAATAAAAAGAAAAAAGAATGCATGTAGCCTGTGACCCCAAATTCCATTTCTAAGGATCTACTTTAGAGAAACTTGCACATTTCACACAAGGAGACAAGTTCAAGAGCAGTTAAGGACACCAGAAAATTGAGAACCTAAATGGCCATGGGTAGGAGAATGGTTAAGTTATAGCACGTGCACAGAGTGAATATGTGGCAGTTAATAAACCAGATGGAGAAGCTATCAGCATCCACTCAAAAACACTGAGCGAAACAAGTTGCAAAATAATATGCATTGTTTGATACAATACAAAATGTATTGCCATATATTGTAGTAAAATTATACTACCTCGTGAAAGTGGTTTCCTCTGGGTAGAGGGAGGGGAGAGAATGAGACAAGTGGAAAAAATGGTGGAGGGGCCTCTGCTGAATCAATGATGGAAGTGAAAGCAGGGATTCAGATACTGTCCAACCCTGTGCACAGCAACATTACAGTAGCTGCGGTAGAAGTAACCCAGGTGGTCCAGCAACAGATGGCCATAAAAAGGAATGAAATTCTGATACATGCTGCAACATGGATGAACCTTGAAACATTATGCTAAGTGAAAAAAGCCAGACATGAAAGGACAAGTACTATGTGATTCCACTTACAATGAGTTACCTAGAGAGAAAGCAGGAGAGAGGTTACCAGGGACTGAGGGAGGGAGAGGGAGGAAAGGGAAGTCAGTATGTAACGGCTACCGTTTCTGTTTGGGATGATAAAAAGGGACTAGAAATGGATAGTGGTGATAGCTGTACAGTATTGTGAATGTACTTAACACCACTGAACTGTACACTTAAAATGGTTAAAATAATCAATTTCATGTTATACTATAAAAAACAACAACAACCCTAAATGTAAAGATAACCACTATTTTTTTTTTTTTAGCTGAGCCATCCTGCCATCTGTTGGCAGCTCAGCGGCTGCTCAGCTCGGGCCTGGCTGGACTCGAACCGCTGTTGCTCAGAACTCAAACACTTGAGCAAGCTCTTAACCAACTGAGCTACTCAGCTGGCCCTAAATGTAAAGATAAAACTGTAGATCATTTAGGAGATAGTATAGGTGAATGTCTTCAAAACCTTGGAGTAAGAAAAAGATGAATACATTAATCTACATTTCTCCTCTTTGATTTGCTATTATTGTAGGATATTCAGACAATGGACACTATGTGGCAATGAAAACAGGCTTCTGTTCATCAAAAGGCATCATTAAGGGAGTAAAATTAAGGCAAGTCAGAGAGAAAATAATTGTAATACATTAATAACTCATTCTGGATATATAGAGTTTCTAAAAATTAATAAAGACAATAGAAAAATGAGCAAAACGCTAGAATGGGCACCTCACAAAAAGCATACAAAACGGTACTTAATTTCATTAGTCTTCAGAGGAACTCATTAAAATCACAGTGTGGGGGGCCGGCCGAGTGGCGTGTTGGTTAAGAGCTGGCTTGGGATGCCAGAGGACCCCGGTTCGGATCCCACATATGAGGGCCAGTGACACTGCCCTCCACAGCTAAGATGCTGAAGAACAGCTCACCGTGGAGCTGGGCTGCCGTGAGTCGCTGGCGACGGCATAGGCTGCAGTCCCTGTGGCAGTGGGTTGCCATGGGCTACCGTGTGTAGCCAGCAGCCAGCGTGAGCAGCCAGCAGCCGCAGTGAGCGGCCGTCCAGAAGCCAGCGACTGATCTGCCTCGCCCAGGAGGAGTGCAATGATGGTGCCAACTTGGACCAGTGAAGCAACGTCCTCCACAGCTAGACTGAAGAACAAAGCAACAGCAACTTGTCTGTTCCCCTTCCCCCAATTCCCCAGCGCTGTTCCCATCCCCCAATTCCCCAATAAAAATCTTAAAAAAAAAAAAATCACAGTGTGGGGAAAAGAACCCCCCCCAAAAAAAACAAAATAAGAAAAAAATGAAAAGAAAAAAATAATAAAAATAAAATCAATATGATACTACAATATCCTCACTAGACTGGCTACAATACAAAAGATGGAAGGTACCAAGTGTTGGTGAGGATGTGGAGCAACTGGAACTCTCATACACGGCTGGTGAACATGTGGATTGGAACAACCACTTTGGGAAACTTGGGCATTGAAGCTGAAAATAAGCATATTCTAAAACCAGCAATTCCACCCCTAGGTATATCCTCACAGAAACAGGTTGTGATATGTTCACCAAAAGACATGCAAACATGGTAAGCACATTTCATATTAACCCCACCCACCCCAGAAACAACCCAAATGTGCAGCAGTGGTGGAATGGATAAAGAATTGTGGTACAGTGAGGTACCAAGAAGGTAGAGGTGGGAATGGCCCGCCCAAGCAGGGCAGGATAGTTCAGTATCGACATCATTTAGAACTGCCAGAGCATGATGATAAAAAGCAGACCAACTTTAAGTTCATCCCACTGTATTGAAATTCCCTTCAGGGGCGGCCAGTTAGCTCAGTTGGTTAGAGCACAGTCCTCATAACACCAAGGTTGCCGGTTCGATCCCCACATGGGCCACTGAGTTGTACCCTCCACAACTAGATTGAAACAACTATTCAACTTGCAGCTGATGGGTCCTGGAAAAACACACTGTTCCCCAATTAGAAAAAAAAAAAAATCCCCTACCAATGGTACAGCCCCTTATTGCTTGCATCTGGGGCAGATCGCTCTCCTGCCTCAGGCCCATACCATTTATAGAACGGAAGGCTGGGATGCTGTATAAAAATGAAAATGAACAAAATTTAAAAATATGTATCATAGGTGAATCTCACAAACAATCTTAAGTGAAAGAAACCAGTCATAAAAGACTACATACACATTGTGATTCCACTGATAAGGAATATACTGCGTGAACTAGCACGTGCAGAAGACCCTGTGTGGTGTGGCACCATTTCTGGTTAAAAAACAACCAAAAAAAAGTCAAATGGAGTAACAGAAGATGGAATTTCATCAGAAACACAGATCTGAAAAATCATAGGATACATAAATGTTTGCTATGATCTGGATGAACTATTTCACTCTTTAAATGCACGAGTGTCCAGGAAGGTAATTATTTGTATACTTTTTGCAACATTGTAATAGCAAAAACTTGGAGGCAACAGGGAATAATGGGTAAGTAAAGTTGATACATGTATACCATGAAATACTATATACAACAGTCAAAATGAATGAGTGTGACTAAGAATCAATTTGGATTGCTTCCAAGAATCTGATGTGTGAAAAAAAACAGAATTGCAGGGTGTTGTATATGAAGCAATAAACAGTGTAAGTAAATGTATAATAAGCACAAACACAAAGGAGAGAGTTAGCCATTCCTGAACACCTACTGTGTGCCAAGTGCCTACCTTAACCCTCACAGCAACCCTCTGACCAAATAAGTAGTATATTTTTTTCTCACTGAGTAGGAAACTGAGGCTCCATGAGGCCTCATCCAGGGTCCCACACCCACAGCCAGAGATCACACAAACCCTCAAGGCCCCTCCCTGCCGGGCTGGCCCAGGTGCCCAGGCCCAGCCTTCAGGCCTGGGCGGAGATCCTGAGCCACACTGGGCAGGAGGCCCTGTAACTCCAGCCGCTGCCCCCGCCCCTGCCTCCCCTTCTCCTCAGCCTCTGGCTGGGAATCCACAAAGCCTCCCATTCAGCCCTGTCCCCGCTGCTCAGCCTGCGGGCAGGGAGGGGGGCTCCTACCAGCATCCACACAGGGACTGGCGTGGGCCCTTCCCTTGTGCAACACCTCCAGGCTGAACTGGCCGTGTGAGGCGGCATGGAGGGGTGAGTCTTTGGGCACCGGGTTTTGGGGTGGGGAGGCTGAGAGAAGCTATGTGGCTACAGGCAAACCCCTGCGCCTCTCAGGGCCTCTGAGGGGCTGGAGGACGGGCTCTGGGATCTGCCTGGATAGAGATTCTCCAAGGGTCTCCCCCAAGTGGGTTCTGAGGAAGGTGGTGCGTGGGAGTTCACAGCCCTCTGAGCCCTGGATACTTGTCCCTCAGCAATCTGTCCCCCCCACCCCTCTCCTTGGCCCACCTTTAGCCTCAGTGTCACCACAGATTGCAGAATGCCACCAGCCCCAAGGCTGGGGCTGGGCCCTGGGACCCCAAGGAGACAGAAAAACAGATGGTGACAAAGCAGTGAGCGGAAATGGAGGAGGTTCACAGTGGGGACCCAGCCCAAGCATCAGGAAAGGCTGCTCAGAAGCTCTGACCAAGCTGAAAACAAAGAAGAGTGGGGTGTCGCCTACGGCAAGGAGGGAGCTCTGTGCTTGTCGGGGAGCCAAGAGCTGACACCAAAGAATCTGAGCAGATTCCTGTTGGGAATTTGGAGCTGGCACTTCCCGCCACAGGCAGTGAGGGGATGCTGAAGGGTTTGCAGCAGGGCTGTCAGGGCCCATCTGCATTTTGGAAAGTTCCCTTTGGTGGTTGGTGGTGTGCACTGGGGAGGCCAAGAGACCCACTGTGGCAGCAGTCATCCTAGCAAGCCACAGGCAGTGGCTGTAGTGATGTGAAGAGGTCCAATTGGGTGATGGATGGATGGATGAGTGGGGTGGGGGTGGCTGCACAGGTGAGTGGACAGACAGGTAAGTGGATAGACCTTGCCCAAAGCACAGTCCCAAACCCATACCCTCAGCTCTCCCATTTCAGTCCAGGCCACTGGGCGGCACTAGGAAGAAGGGAAGACAATGGGAATAAACAGGAGAGAAGAGAGTTGAGCTTCTGGCTCACCTGCTAATGTGACTCTGACTGGCCATTAAGGCTCCTTAAGGTTCTGGGGCCCCACACTACCTGGTTCCCCAAGTTTTGCCCCACAACTCAGTCTGGGCCTAAGTCCTGGCTTCCAGGCTGTCTTCTCGAGGTGGGTGCCATTTTGCCTCCTGCCACTATAGGGCTGGCGCTGCATTTGTCAGGAGTGGCTGCTTCTCTCTCCACCACCAGCCTCACACTGGGAGGTCCAGGCCTGCCCCTAGACCCAGAGCCTCACCATAGCCCGGGCACAGACTGAGCCCCAGGGCCTCACTGAGCCTCAGGGCAGACAGCCAAAGGGATGTGGCAGATCGCCCTTCTGAGCCTCAGTTTCCTCCAGCGTATACCAAGGCTAACAATAGATCTTTTGCTTCATGGGGGTGGGGGGTGTGAGGCTCAGGGCAATGAAACCTTCCCTGCGGCAAAGGAGGAAGATCACTGAGGGGCTCTGGGGACAGGAGCCGGGGCTCAGTGAGTGGACAGTGTGGGACCCTTGCCCCTGTGAATGGGCCCTCTCTCTCTCTCTCTCTCTCTCCCAGGCCCCAGAGTGTCTTCTTGGTCCTACTGCTTTCTCTGTTGCTGCCACTGGGCCCAACTTGGCACACAGCCGCCCAACGATGCCCACAGACCTGTGTCTGCGACAACTCCAGGCGGCATGTGGCCTGCCGGCACCAGAACCTAACCGAAGTGCCCAACGCCATCCCTGAGGTCAGCAGGGCGAAGGGGTGGGGGAGGACAGCAAGAGGAGCCTGAGCTGGCACAGAGGATCTGCCACTGCCTGGGTGGGAGACATTGGAAAGTGACCGTTCCTCTCTGAGCCTCAGTAGTCACATCTATAAAATGGGAATGCTAATAACCAACAACAGGGAGACAATCTATTTAAAACCCTATGTGATTGGAACACGTAGGTGACCTACAGATACATATGGAATTAATTACAGACCCTTTGGCAAAGAATGGGGGACACACTGGGGTAAGCTATGGTCTCTGCCCTATGGAGTCAAGAACTAGTGTGAAGAAAGTAAATGGACAGTGATAATTGGATGTGAAAAGTGCCAGAGTGGGGGATGCCCAGGTAGCTGGGGTGGAAGGCTTCCTGGAGGAGGTATCAGGAGCAGGGTGGAGAGAATGAGGGGATGAAGGGTGTTCCAGGGGAGGGAACTTAGCAAGGGGCACAGGTCACAGCGCTGTTCAGCCCCGCTCTGCCCTCCCCACTCAGATGACCCAGCGGCTGGACCTCCAGGGCAACATGCTGCAGGTGATCCCTCCAGCTGCCTTCCAGGACCTACCTTATCTGACCCACCTGGACCTGCAGCACTGCCAGGTGGAGTTGGTGGCCGAGGGTGCCTTCCGTGGCCTGGGCCGCCTGCTCTTCCTCAACCTGGCCTCCAACCGCCTGAGCGTGTTGCCCCAGGAGGCGCTGGATGGGCTGGGCTCACTGCGGCGGCTGGAGCTGGAGAAGAACATGCTGGAGGAGCTGCGGCCGGGGACGTTTGGGGCTCTGGGTGCGCTGGCCACGCTGAACTTGGCCCACAACGCCCTCGTCTACGTGCCCGCCATGGCCTTCCAGGGGCTGATGCGCACTCGCTGGCTGCAGCTGGCCCACAACGCGCTCAGCGTGCTGGCCCCCGAGGCCCTGGCTGGCCTGCCCACCCTGCGCCGGCTCAGCCTGCACCACAACGAGCTGCAGGCCCTGCCAGGGCCGGCCTTGTCCCAGGCCCGCAGCCTGGTCCGCCTTGAGCTGGGCCACAACCCATTCACCTATGTGGGCGAGGAAGACGGGCTGGTGCTGCCTGGCCTGCGGGAGCTGGTGCTGGACCATGGGGCCCTGCAGGCCCTGGACCCCAGGGCTTTCGTCCACTGCCCACGCCTGCACACCCTGGACCTCCGCGGGAACCAGCTGGACACTCTGCCTCCGCTGCAGGGCCCGGGGCAGCTGCGTCGGCTGTGGCTGCAGGGGAACCCGCTATGGTGTGGCTGCCAGGCCCGGCCACTGCTCGAGTGGCTGGCGCGGGCGCGTGTGCGCTCGGATGCTGCGTGCAGGGGACCCCTGCGCCTGCGGGGCGAGGCCTTGGATGCTCTGCGGCCCTCAGACCTGCGCTGCCCTGGAGACACGGCGGAGGAGGACGAGGGGGAGGAACTGGTGGCTCCCTCAAAGCCTCGCTCCCCGCCCGGAGCCGCTGACGGGGAGGAGGGGGCTCAGCCCTGTCCGCGGCCCTGCGTGTGCGTCTCCGAGTCCCGGCACAGCGGTTGTGAAGGCCGAGGCCTGCAGGCTGTGCCCCGCGGCTTCCCCAACGACACGCAGCTCCTGGACCTGAGGCACAACCACTTCCCAGTGGTGCCCCGCGAGACCTTCCCGGGCCTGGGCCACCTGGTATCACTGCACCTGCAGCACTGTGGCATCACGGGGCTGGAGGCAGGCGCCCTGGCCGGGCTGGGCAGCCTGCTCTACCTCTACCTCTCCGACAACCAGCTCTCAGACCTCAGCGCTGCCGCCCTCGGAGGGGCCCCTCGCCTTAGCTACCTGTACCTGGAGCGCAACCGCTTCCTACAGGTGCCCGGGGCTGCTCTGCGCGCCCTGCCCGGCCTCTTCTCCCTGCACTTGCAGGACAACTCTGTGGGCCGCCTGGCACCTGGGGACCTGGCAGGCGTGCAGGCCTTGCGCTGGCTGTACCTGAGCGGGAACCGTATCACCCAAGTGTCCCCCGGGGCCCTGGGCTCAGCTCGGGAGCTCGAGAAGCTGCACCTCGACAGGAACCAGCTGCAGGAGGTGCCCACTGAGGCCTTGGAGGGGCTGCCTGCCCTCCTGGAACTGCAGCTGTCGGGGAACCCGCTCAGAGTCCTGCCGGATGGGGCCTTCCAGCCCGTGGGCCGATCGCTGCAGCACCTCTTCCTGAACAGCAGTGGTCTGGAGCAGGTGGGCAGAGGGTGGGGGATGGGGGCAGCGGGCGTTCCACTCAACAAACACTGCTGCCCCTGCAGTGCCAGGCCGAGGCTGGGCATGGGGACCCGGAGATAAGCCAGGCTACACTGCCATCAGGGAGCTCAGGTGTGGATGACAGAGCAGGCAAAATCCAGTGCCACATGGAGAGGCCTGCCAGGGAGGGCGCTGCAGGGGCACGGAGGAGGGAGGGGCGGGGGTCTAGGAGTCACCTACTTTGAGGGCAGGGATGGAGCCCCCAAGAAGCTTTGCCATTATTGGGGGTGGGGGTTTCAGACAAAGCAGAAACAACCATGAACTGGGGATCCAGGTGACTTACAAATAGCAAGTGCTTTGGCACTAGACCAACCTGTTTCCACCCCAGCACTGCCCTTCCTGCCTGGGCCATCCTGGGTGCCCCACTTCCCTTCCGCTGGGGGAGCACAGGCCTTCCAACCTGGTCTGACAGGAGCTCACATGAGGGCCTGGCACCCCCTTGCAGGTTGCTCCCGGGGCCTTCTCAGGCCTGGGGCCTCGGCTCCAGAGCCTACACCTACAGAAGAACCAGCTGCAGGCCCTTCCCGCCTTTCCCAGTCTCAGTCAGCTGGAGCTGGTCGACCTCAGTGGCAATCCCTTCCGCTGTGACTGCCAGCTGCTCCCACTTCACAGGTGAGCACCCCCCACCCCAGGCCCCCAGCTGGGGACCCACAGCTGCTTTCATTCAAGCCCCCACCATCTCTCTGGGCCACCATGTCTGCCCAGCTAAGCAGCTTTGGGGGGAGAGTCCTGCCAGGGCCAGCTACCCTTCCTTGGGGAGCCAGCATGCATGGACTTGGGGCGCATAGAGCAGGGATGAGCTCTGCCCAGCCGTGGGGCGGGATCTCATCAGTATGCGTGGACACTTTACATAGTTACACGAGAAAGCAACAAGGATCCCAGACCAGGAGTCCCACAGCCCTGGGCTGAAATCCAGCTCTGTCTGGCTCTGACTTGGGCCACATGACCTCCCTGTGCAGGTCTCTGTGAAGGGGACGATGGTGTCCATCCACCTCAGGGCAGTGGCTTGAAGAATTACATTGAATCAGTTACATGTATAGATTGGTTTGAACAGTGTCTGGATCATCAACCCTCTGTAACTTTATCACTACCCCTTGTTGCAGAGAATGGATTTGAGGTTGGAAGTGACTTACTTGCTCAGGGTCACATAACCAGTGGGCAGCCCGCGCCAGGGCACTGTGCAGTTCGCTCTCACACAGCAGACTCCACTGGCCCAAAATGGCGAGAATCCCCGTGATCTCCTCAGGAAAGCTCATCACAGTGTGTTCCCCAAACTCTCATCTCAGGTGGCTCACTGGGCTGAACCTGCATGTGGGGGCCACCTGTGCTGCCCCTCCCAGTGCCCATGGCCAGAGGGTGAAGGCTGCAGCTGCTGTCTTTGAAGCCTGCCCGGGCTGGGCTGCCAGGAAGGCCAAGCGGACACCCGGTGCCAGGAGAGCCCGTATGAAGGAAAGACGACGGGGAGCAGATAAGGTTGCTTACAGGGCAGGTGGGGGGAGGCCTTGGTGGGTGGGTCAGGTTCCAAAGCCTGAGGGTAGCGGGGCTCTGACGTCTCTTGTCTGTTTCATGTGGTTCTAGATCTGGTAACCATGTTGCTTCTCTGTTCAGCCTTGTCCATCCCCCTCCTCATCTCCACCTCTGGGCTGGGCCCAGGTGGATCTGTAGGGCCTTGCTCTTTCATCCTGTGGCACAATGGCCTTTCTCACAAGCCACATTATACTGGACCCGCTGTGTCCATGAAATCAATCCCTCTGCTACAATATTTGCTGGATCACTGTTGACTCAGCCATTTCCTATCCTGACCTCAAGGGCCTCGCTCATCCTTAGGATGGGAAGAGCAGTAGTGCGGGCGTTGGTGATGCCTCCCACTACTTAGCCATAGGTTGGACTTCATGGAGTCATCTCGTCACCTCCTTGATGTTAACCATCCTGACAAATCCGTTCGCACTTGAAAGCTCAGTTGTAGCAAAATCTCCCAGCACATCAGAGAATGGGGGGATCTGGGAGTCCCGCTGGGTGGGAGCCTGTGCTGGGTGGTGGGGGCACATGGGGGTTCCACAAGGGGGAGGCCAGTCCTTAGAGGGAAAATGAAAACACAAGTGGGCACTGGGGAGGTGGAGCGAGAGCTCTGCCTGCCTCTGGACCCACATTTTGAAGATTTGGGGTACCTGAGGACCATTAGATGGCATAGTTCTCCAGGGCTGCCAGAATGAAGTACCACAAACCAGGTGGCTTTGAACAACAGAAATTTGTCTCTGTTCTGAAGGTGGGCCATGCTCCCTCTGACAGCTCTAGGGGAGGGCTCTTCCTGTCCTTTCCAGGTTCTGGTGGCCCCAGATGTCCCTCGGCTGGTGGCAGCACAACTCCAATATCTGCCTGTTTTCATATGGGATCTCCTTGTCTTTTCACATCGTCTTCCTGTGACATGTGTGTCCAAATTCCCCTTTTCACGACACACAAGTCACACTGGATTAGGGCCCACCCCAATGACCTCACTTTAACCTGATTACCTGTGTGAAGACCCTAATTAAGGTCTCATTCTGAGGCATATCTTCTGTGGAGGGACATAATTCAACCCGTAACAGTGTTCCTTGTGGGAGTGAGGAAGGAACCCCTAAAAAGACCCCAAGCTAAAGGTGAATTCTGCTTTAGAAGACTTGGAGCTAGTGTGACAATATTCACGTCAGCAAACGCTCGTGTGGCACTTACTACCAGGCAACGTGCTATCAGCTTCAGTGCTTTCTCCCTGCGCCAACTCTGGTGGGGGGTTTGTGTGCACCCGAGGAGCAGCTCCGATGGGTCCACCTCCAGGTCAGGGTTAATTCAAAGGGAAGCCCCCCACCCACACCCCACAGTACAGTGGTTGTGGCAGGAAGTGGGACATCCCAGACCATTCCATTCAGGCACTTTACACCAAATGCCAGCCCTGAAGTTTAGGTTTTTCGTTTTTTGTTGCAAGTGGCCGTTTCCTCCCAGGAACACAAAGGAATTGGAGGATAAGGGCCCTGAGCGCTGGCAGGGAGTTCTAGGCTGGGTGGGGGTGCTGACCTTGCTGAAGGCACAAGGCCAGACCACACAAGGCTCTTCTTTGAGGCCCCAAACACTAGCCTGGTATCTGGCAAGTGGAAGATGCTTCATGTTGAGTGAATGAAAAGTAGGGGCGGTTAATATGGTTGAGCAGCTGGGGGTTAACCCCACCTGTGAATTTAAGCAACCAAGTTACCACCAGGCCTTAATGAGTCTTCTTTCTTCTCATCGGTAAAAATGAAGTCAACAGGTACCTCACAGACCTGCGGAAATGAAATAAGCTATGGGAATGTGTCAACCAGTGCCTAGCATGAGGCTGTCATAAACGGCAGGTCCCTTGCTTCCAGTCCTTGGGTCTAGGGCTGAGGGTGTATACTGGGTAACAGGAAAAACTTGAAGTATTTGGATTTGGTCTGATCGGTCCCCCCCCTCCCCCAGGTAGAATAAGGGTTCTTTAGGGTGCTGGTTCCCAGCCAGCAGCCCCCCTGTGAGGCTGTTAGTGGCATCTGAGGCACAAGGCTTATTCTGTCTCGAATGATAATGTCCCCGAGGACAATACTTCCATCTGTGATAAATCAGTGACCTTCAGGTCCCAGCAACACGTTATGTACACTTTCATGTTATACAAGCTCCTTGTGGCCAACTTTGTGCTGGCCCTTTGGGGAACTCAGAGGCTTGGGGGGAGGGGACTGGCGGAAATAAGGCAATACATGGGGTTGCTATGGAGACAGGAGTTCAAGGGACAGGTGATTTATTCTTTATTATCTCCACATGTGAGCTCACTTCATAATTGTTCCTATTAAGTGGCATCAGAAGACACTCCGTCGTAGGGAACAGAAACCTGACTTGTGCGTTAGACTTGAGCAAGTAAGAGATTTAATGTCTGGGGAGGCCGCTCCAGCTCTGCTATCTGAATCAGGGGGCTTTGTGCCCCCAGTGCCTATAGGCACCGCTTCTTCATTTAGTAAGAAGGAACTAATGGCCAAATGCCATGCAAGCCCAGTTTCCCCAGAAGCTTTAGTTGGAACTGGACCCCGTAACTGCAAGGGAATGAGGACGAGTCCTCTGGGCACAGAACGCTCAACAGAAGCAGGGCTCCTGGAGCAGGCTGAGTACCACAGTGCCTACCCAGGCCACCGCCCATCTGGGGCGTGAGACCTGCCCTTGTTCTACATGGTGGCCCTAACCTGGTCACTTTCTGGAGAACTCAGGCTGCAGTTTTCTGGGCTCAGCACCATGTGGGGCTGCCTAGTCTCTTCAGCAGAGAGCAGATCAAGTTCTCTGGATGGCAAATTGGCTCCCCTTGGGCAGGTCACCCCATCTCTGGGAAGACACCAAACATCCCAGACCCTGAGCAAACCCACAGCCCAGCTCAGAGAAGGCACCTGGGCACCAGCACAGCTGCAGCCTTTAAAGGTTGACACACAGACCCACCCAGCAGTCCTGTTCTCCACCCAAAAATATGGGAGGAAAGAGAAGGGCTGAGGACTGGAGGCTGCCTCCATCTCAGGTTCCAGAGAGAAGGGTTAGTGGAGAGACAGGCTTGACCAGAGGCAAGTTTCCAAGGAGACTGCGGAAAAGAAAAGCTGCAATTTGGCAGATACTAGGCGAACTTCTAGAATGTGATTTCGGAGGGGAGCAGGGAAAACCTACGTTTAGGAGTTAGGAGCTTGGAGAGCAAAGGAGCCAGGAAGTGTGGCCCAGTCCTTTCTTCCTTCCTCTAGCTCCTGCAGGGAGGGCCACCGTGGCCAGCAGGGCTGACCGCTCCCATCACAGCCCTGTGACCCTGGTTAACCAGAGGGCCCGGGGCGGGCAGGTCCCAGCTGAGCTGGCCTCTGCAGCAGGTGAAGCTCAATGCTGCCGACAGGCTCCCTCAGCTGGGGCCTCCATCCCACCAGGGCCACTCACCTTCTGGTCCTGCCCTGCCCCGCCCCACAGGTCTCATCAAGTGGCACAGGGGCTGGGGTGATCTTTCCTTCCCTCGGCCCCTGCAAGCCCCCCAACCCAAGGAGCACATCCCAATTCTGCTCCACTGTTCCTTTTAGAAATGGGGGTCAGTGCTCACGCCAACAGAGAAAATAGGTCAAGGCTACCTCGCCAGTACCGAAATAAACCCACAGCCTGGTCCCCGCTTCTCAGAGCTGGGTGCCAGCACAGGGTCTCCCACCTGCCTAGGGTGCTAGGAGGAGCAGAGCCGACCCAGGAGGCAGGAGGCCACTCCACTTGGTTAGATTTTTAGGCAAAGGCTGTGCCCACACCAGGCACAGCTGTCTCTCCCTTGAGAGGCTGCAGGCCTTTACTTACAACTTGCTTGGGCACGCACATGCACCCTCTCTCCAATGTCCTGTCTTGAGTGTGACTGGGGGACAGCCCCCACCTCCTGGCAACTGAGGGGTACAGTGGATGTGGAGGGAGGCTACCGAAAGGGAGTGCTTCGGGGACTCTAGCTGGAGAGGGAGTCACTCAGACAAGTGTGGGGGCCTCAGGCAGTCCCAAAGGAGGGCAGAGGCCACAAGGCGGGCGGAAGGAGAGCCCAGCTGGTCCTTCTTTCCATGCGTGGCCCTCCCAGCACCAGGCAGAATTTATGCAAAAAGGATCAGTCTCCAAACTGCAGTGGCATGGTGGGGTGGGGGCATGGAGGAGCCTGGGCTGGCTTCCAGCTAGGTGGCCAGGCTGGCTGCAGGGCAGGCTCAGTCGTCTGTCTCCTGTTTGATGTTCTCAATGGAAACAGGCAGCTCTGGACTGGGGGCCTTGTCAGGCATGGCCGTGTCCACATGCTCTTCCTTCACACGTATGGCGATGACTAAAGGGGAAGGAGGTGGGAGGGCCGGAGAAGAGCGACTGAGGGCACGGAACTGGGGAGCGCGGGCAACCGGGAGGGGGGGACGGGGATCAGGATCTGGGGGAGGGGTCTGGCTTCCTACAGAAGGAAAGGACCCCTGGGGGGAGCGGCGCGCAAGCAAGCACCTTCCCCTCCGTGGGGCAGGCAGCAGAAGGCCCAGGGCTCTATCACAGGCCACCAGACTGTGCCAGACACTGGCATCTGCCCACCTGCTGTCCTGCCCAGCACATGGGGGTGGGGGTGGGGCAGAAACAGAGGGCCAGGCTCAAGCTGCTCAGCTCCATTTGGAGTCGGGGGTGGAAGGAAGCTCTTCAGGCCTAGTGGTCTGAGGAGGACTGTTTGGTGCCAGAAAATTCCCTTCAAACTTGACTCTACTTTTCTGTGCCCAGGTTGGGAAGCAGAGGGGCCGCCTCTGAGCACTGGAGCTGGAGTCTCTTACTCTCATCAGGAACGGGCTCCGCTGAGATCTTGTCAGCGGCCTGCGCGTCCCCATCCAGCAGGGCCTTCTTGGACCCCTGTTTCAGGGGCCGGGTCTTGGTCGGTGGTATTCTTTTCCCTTTGAATAAAAACAGAATTAAAGCCAGCACTAGGGTTGTATCCACGTGAGGCTGGGTCTCATCCAGCGAGGCAGAGGGGAGGGTACCACTTGGGGAAATTAGCCTGAACTTCTGCCATCTCCCCTCGGGGCCGTGTGCCCTGAGGCTCAAAGCCGTCCATGCCCTCACAGGCTCAGGGACCATGTCCATTTCCTCTGTCCCGTTTCAGTGCATCCTTTTCTCTGCGAGGTGCCATGTCATGGAGACCACCTCCCAGACACAAGGCCGCAGCTCCGGGGAACGGCTCTGCCTCCCCCACTCCCTGCCACTCTCCAACCTGCTGCCCCTTGAGCTGAGCCCATGCTGGGCTTAGGACCTGAGGAGAGTGGGGCCCCGCCTAGGGAAATGACTCCAAAGCTTGGCAGCTGCCCTTGTCCCGCCTCGGGATCACGAGGTGGCCTTGGGGAGCAGCTTCCGCTTCCTCCAGCACCTTGACTTTCACACCAGGTGCCGCACATGGCCAAGGGGGCCATGCCATGGGGCAGCAGGGCTGGGGCCTGTCCCCTTCTCTGTCAAATGCAACCTCTTATATTTTCCTCGGGATCCTGACCACTGCCAGGGATGGAAGACTCCCTGTTATGCTCTGAAGACGCAGGCTGCAGGCCCATGGAGCACTACCTAAGAGACAGCCCGCTGCTCTGCTCTAGGGACACAGGCCCAGCTGATCGCAGGTCCCAAATCAGCCCCAGCTGCCTGAGAGCACCACTTACTTTTCTTCCCAAACTGTTTCTTTTTCTTCTTCGTGGCCTCTTTGGCCTTCAGAGGTGTGGTTGACTCTGTTGTTGAAATAGAGGACAAGAGGTGAGGAGAGAGTTGAGAGGACACAGGGTACAGGCGCACCCGAGACCCTGGCCCACCCCCTCACTAGTCTCCCTTAGACACGGGACACCCTGAGAAGGGAAGTTAAAGTTGGGCAGTGAGAATGGGGGAGGGGACTGGGGGAAGGACCAGAGAACAGCTGTCCCTTCTTCCCACCCTCGTCACCAGGGCTGCTCAGAGAGACCTGGAGGGTTTCCCTGGGTGCGTACGGGCACGAGCATATGACTGAGTGGGCAAGATCAAGGCAGGCACTCTGCAGGCCAGAGGGGCAGGGAGACACGAGAGGTCAGGAGCAAGGGCCACGCTCTACTTACAGGTGGTCCAGGAGATTTCTCGATCATGCCAAAGAATGAGGCGGGCATGGGGCCTGGGGGGTGGTTGGCAGGAAGGAGAAAGGAAAGTCAAGAGCCCCTTAAGACTGCAAGAGCCCAGACCTGTGGCCACGGGTGGCTGCAGCTGGTAGCCGGTGAGCTCGCACCAGCCGACAGGGTAGATGTCTGGGGACTCACAGTCCACCCACTGGTCATACTCGCTGTCCCAGCCATCGAAGTGGATGCTGAGAAGCCGATGCACCACCCGCCGCACGGTGGCCACGCAGATGAGGCGGGGCTCCATCAGGTCCACGGCCTCCAGCTTCATGCCCACCTTGAAGCCGTGGTTGGGGCAGTCCTGGGAGGGGCAAGGCAGTGAGCGAGCCAGCTAGCTCCCTGCCCCACTGGGGCAGAGCTGGGGGCAGGTTCCTGACCAGCGACCCCACTGTACTTTGTTCCCAGTACCAGCACCCCCGGGACAGGGATAGGCGGAACTGTTGGGCACAGTGTCTACATTGGAGTTGGAGCTTCTCCCCGGAAGTGGCTGGTCTTAGCAATAAGGTCGCCCCAGGCCCCGTTGCACCCTCAGTCCCCTCACCATGTTAAAGAGTCTTGACGGAGCAGCTTTGGACTTGGTCTTCTCCAAGTAGGCGTCCCAGTTGAAAGTGTGTGTTTCATACCCTGATGCAGAGGGAGAAGAGGGGAGAGGAAGGGTGAGGGGGTCCAGGAAGGAGCGCACTGCCAAAGGGCCACCTGCAGCTTGGTGGGGCCACGCTGACCTTTTGGGGGTGTGAGCTCAATGTCATTCTTTTGGCAGAAGGTGGCTGGGAAGATGGCGTGGGAGGAGGCATGGTAACAGAACCAATCGGAGCCATCTGTGGAGGGCCCCCCATCCACACAGATCATCAGGTAGCCATCCAGGAGAACCTAGGCGGTTGGGGAGAGCAGAAGAACATGGTATCACGAGCCGCACCCCTATCCCAGGGCAAGGTGGCTTTGGTGGGGACACGAGGCCATGGGTCGAACTGGAGCTAGACCTCAGCTTCTCTGGGCTGCTGCAGAGCTCTCTGTACTTCTGTAGCCCGTGCTTGTGAGGTCACTGACCTTCCCCACTGGACAGCGAACGCCATGCTGGCAGGGTCTACATCTGTCTTTTTGCCATTGTGGTCTCAGTGGTGTGCGTACACGGGCCCGGCCTGGAGGAGGTTTGCTGGGTGGACAAATCCACACATCCCTCAGGAGGGCCGAGATCATTTGCTCCTTAGGCTGCAGCAATAATGGGGGAGGTTTGCAGCATTCAGCCCACCTGTGGCTCTTGGCTAGGCCAGCACTCAGAGATGGCATGTGGTGGCAGGATGGCCCCCAGGGGGGTAATGGGGTGAGGCCTATACCTGACACAGGACGCATTCAGGCCAGGTGTTCAGTAAACACCGGCCCAGCGTACCTCAGATCCTGACATGAAAGCAGATTCTGAGCAGAGAGCAGATAAGTCCCCTCTTCACAGAGCAGGTGCTCCGGGAGCAGCTGGAGTTGGGAAGGTGGGATGGACGTGAAGTGCAGCTCTGCGCCATCTCCACCCTGAGAAAGCCACCTGGAGGCTGGAGGCAGCCTGGGCTCACCTTGCAGATGGTCACCACGCAGATGTTGCCCAGATTCAGGGGATCAATGGCCTCCAGTTTCATCCCCTCCTCGAACCAGCCACCTTCAGTGTAGACAGCTCGAACCTTAAAGGAACGGGGCATTTGGGGAATGTGGGCCGGCCCAGGCCTGGGAAGGAAACGGGGAGGGAATGGGGCAACTCAGGGGAAGCCGGGGTCCTAAGGCCTGGAATGGACCCATGGCCAAGGGGAAAAGTGCCCAAGGGCTGTGCCTCACCTTCTTGAACAGGTAAGGAACAGCATCACAGTAGATTTTCCGGAAAGTGGGATGGTGGGCCATGTCGCTGCGCCTCTCTTTGGGGAGGTGGCAGAGGGAGTAAGGGAGAGAAGGGCGTTGAAGGCTACTAACAGGGCCATCTCCACACCTTTCCCAGAAAAGTGGGGACTGCCCTGCATATACTCTAATCTGTATCTCAGTCCCCACCCCTGCCTAGAAGACAGTCAGGAGCTCTGTAGAAACTATTCAGCCCTCAGACTCTTCCCACATGACCAAGTTCAAATCAATTTTACCACTTACAAGCTGAGTAACTCTGGTCAAGTCACTCAACCTCTCTGGCCCTCAGTGTTGCCATCTGCAGGGTGGACAGGATCCACACAGCATTGTGGGGTGTAGAGATGTTCCCACCCAGGCCTTGGGGTCACGCTGGCCTGGAGCTCTGCTAACCTGACAGCTTGATGCCATGGCCAACACGCCGTGACCAACCCACTGGATGGATCAGAGGGCTCCACATGTGGCACCAGAAGTCGTCATCACTGTCGCCATCCTCGTAGAGGAGCCGCAGGCGACCCCCAATCACCGTGTCCACCACGGCCATGCGGGTCCGTGACACCTGGGACTTGTCCACCACCTCCAGCCGCATGCCCTGCCGGAAGGGGTACTTCATGCTCTCCACCATCTGCAACGTGAGGACACAGGCCTGCCGTGGGTGTGGGGACCCTCACGCCCCACCTTCCTGCTCTGTCTCTCACAAGTAACCAGAGGACAGAGAAGGTGGGTGGAACCGCCCCAAACACCAAGTCAGGAGGTGGGCAGATGAGCCCCCCCTGTCCCGCCAGGTTCAAACCTGGGCCCCAAATCCCTAGGATGATGTTGAGGGATGGCACACAGCTTACACGTGTGAACCCAAACCCCAGTAAGTCAGCCTGATGGGAATTATAAAGCCCTCTGCAGTCTAAGAAAACAGGTGTCCCAGAGAGGTCAAGTGGCTTGCCAAGAGTCATCCAGACTCATCAGTGCTGCAGCTGATCCTCGGACCCTGTCCTCGTGTCCAGCCTTGTGCTTTCAGGAATCTCTAGCCAACACTCCCCTCCCTCCCAGCGCCCTGCTTCTGTATGTCTAATTCCAGCTCTGGCCTCACTGGGCTGCTGCTCTTAACAGCTTTCATAGCATCTCAGTAACAATGCCTGCCCCTCTAATCCAGCAAGGACAGTGACCAAGAGGCCCACGTGCGGCTCTAGAGTGCTGATGACGGGCACGGGTGAGGGTACAGGAGACTGTTGCTGTGACTTGGGTGCTGTCCTGCACTGGAAGAACTGGTCCAGTGAGCTCTGCTGGCTGAGGGAGAACCAGCCCCAGCCTGGGCATGGTGGGGACTGAGCTGTGCTATTTCACATCCCACCAGGAGGGGCAGTGTCTCAGAGGTCACCACCAAGCAGCCATAGGAAAAGCGGACCCAGCCCTCCACCAGACCCTCTGCCCTCCGCTCAAGAGCTGGAATCCACCCCAATGCCGGCTGCCTGATCGGCCCATTTGGGAGAGTAAGAGGCCCAAGCTGAGGCCTGGGTAGGGGTCCCTCTGGGCCGCCCCCACCTAGCCTCTCCTGACACGTTCCTTGCCTCCGCACCCACCCAGCGCAACCCACAGCCCAACAATGCTTTATTGCCCTCTGTTATGCCCACACACTGAAACCTGAGCTCTGTAAGGACAAGCTAGGTTCAGTTTGATTCATCTCTACATTCTCAGCTCTGAGCACAGAGCTCGACACAGAGTTACTGCTCAGTTAATGTTTTCTCTCAACAAGGAACAAACACAGGTACACACACCTGACCTTAGCTGATGGGTCACTCATTCAAAACATTTTACTACACACTTACCATACTGCAGGCATCAAAGGGCACTTTAAGCTTACTCCATAAACACACCCCCTTTTATCCTCTGCACTCCCCTAATCTTCAGCTGCTTTTGTGTCCCTTCAGTGTGCACACAGGATTGGGTACATGACAGATAGTTAACGTGTGCTTGCTGACTGGTTCGCATGGAAGCCTGCTCTGCCACCCAAAAGCAAACTCTTAATTTAAGCATAAAAGGGGCCACCCTGATACCCATAGTGGTCTGCACCGCCCAAAGTCACCTGCCTCATCTTAAGACAAGGGCCAGCTGAGAAAGAGTAAATGACCATCCGCAAAGGGAAACCTGTCAGCTATGCAAAGCACTATGGGAAATGTAGGAGAAAAAGCTTACGGTTTTGTTGGAAAGAGAATATGAAAAGATAGTGAACAACATTATAGATAAACAGCAAACAAGCAATACCCATAAGTTTAAATAAGGGAAAAATCATTTCTGCTTAGGGGAAAAAAAAGCCAGAGAATGCTTCTGTGAGGTGCCTGAACCATCCCTGATGGCTGAAGGCCAGCTCTCCAGCAGCTCAGGCCCACGGCACAACCTTTCACCTGGTGACGGTGCCTTGGGTGAGATGGCGCCAACTTGTGCTCCATCCTTCTTTCCCACCACTGGCTTCCATACCACCCACGCCCCACCCATCAAGGTAGAATTCAAATGCCATTTTCTCCTTGAAGCCTTCCTTGATGCCTGCTCTTCCTGAGGCCACAAGCCAGTTCAATTTTGTGTCATGACAGCACATCCCTCATCCCCCTGCTCACTGCTGTGACACCCAGGGAAACACGGGCCCCACATCTATAAGCACCCAAGTCAGGAGACCTCAGGTGTGCCAGGCACCTGTGAGTGAGCCCCGCAGCAGGAGGGCTGGCATACAGTGTGGGAGACTGAGTCTTCACTGTGTACCCTTGCGAGCCCGTTAAATTTTTACCATGTATATCACTCTTCAGGTTAAAGAACGAAATAATTTTTAAGAATTACAATTCAATGCCACACAAGCGATTCTGCAGGACATCCCTGGTTCAGAGGCTATAATTATTTATGTGCACGACTTCGTTTCCTTTGCCAGATCGGCGAGTCCTGGGTGGCAGGGTCCCTAGTCTCTGCATTCCCACAGTGCCTTGTTTACAACAAGCACTTAATAAAATCTACTGAATGAACGCTCCTGAGAAATGCTGTGAGCACAGGTAAGGACCTGGAAGAGCAACCGGTCCATGTGGCTGGTCAGTCTGGGTAGGGAGGGTACTGAGGTTAGGTGGGAGGCAGGTGGCAACCACCATCCTTCCCTGAGAATCATGGAGCCGCTACAGACAATTCATATTCAGCAAGGGAGTCTCAGAAAAAACACTCCAACGGCTAGCACGAAGGCTCTAAAGAGGGAGGGGGGGGACAGGAAGGAGATTGGGGAGGAGCCCCAAAGGGCCCACTGCCAGACCTTGATGTGGAAATCCACAGGAAGCGTCCTGGAGCCCACCAACCGTTTCATCAGGTAGCCCTTCCAGTCGGTGAACTTGGCATGGATGGCTGCGGGGACAGGAGGAGGTGCCGGTTACACAGACTGACGACACGCCCCCTGGATAGAGGGCGCCAGAGCCTCCCAGAGCAGACAGAACTTATTTCTGCCCCCTCCGGCCATTGTCCTATAAAACCCAGCTCCACAACCTGGATCTGCAGCGGGGCCTCGGGGACAAGGAGGAAGGTGGGTTCTGTTGTGGCTAACCTGAGGCAGAAGCCAGCCCTTCTACTCACTCCGTGGGGGCACCAGGATCTTGCTGTTGATGGCACACCAGCCGATGGGGTGGACATCCACAGTTCCCAGGTTGCACCAGAAGTCATGGCTGGCGTCATTTTCAAAGCCTTCGTACCGGAGCAGCACTCGGTACCCTGGAAGAAGGAAAGGAGCGCCAGTGAGGGAGTGAGGGAGGTGGAAAGGCATGTTCTTCAGCCTTGCCTCTTCTCCAGCCTACACCGGACTTGCCACTGCCGATCCCATGAACTCCTTGCAGGCAATGGGGTCTCTGCTGCCCGCAAGAGTCATAGCCGAAGCAAACCCATGCCGCCTACTTAGAAAGCAGTATGGCACAGGGGAAGAATTAATTTTCTACAGCCTCATAACCCCTGGATAAACTTCAAAAAATGGGAGTTTCCAAAGTCACCAAGCTCCATGGTTCCCACTAAGGTAGGCAGCTAAGAGAGCTGCAAGAGAGGCAGAAACTCCGGCGGTGCGCTTTTTGGTTTGTTTCATGAAGCCCGTTTATGGCACTGTCTACGCACCTGGGGATGCCACTCTCCAGACCCCGACCCTGCCTTGGCCCCAGGACGCGCACCCACCTGCTGCCTGGATGACAGAGGCGATCCAGTACACCCGGCTGGGGAGCACTGCGTCACTGTTGAGCACCTCCACCTTCATCCCCTTCATCACATCCTCCCACTGGTCATAGAGTGGGACCTGGGTGGGATGAGAACACAGGGGTCAGTGAGCTGCCTGGACTGGCAGGGAAGGGTGGAGTGGCCTCACGCCTCAGGAGTCACCGCATCCTTCGCCTCTTAACTGTGAGTGCGGACAGCCAGGCACGGGACAAGGATGAGGGCGAGCCAGGTGTAGCTGCTGTGCTTGAAGAGCAGAGTTGGAATGGAGACAGGTTGGGGTGGGCCGGGGCGAGGGTCAGAGATCCAGTCACACAGCCCTGAGTGTTTATCTTCACAGGACCAACTCGTAGCTATATCGTCACAGCACCCCTTTGCCAGCCTATGTGACAGTAAGGACACCTAACCGTTTCTATAGTGCTCACCACATGCCAGGCACTGTTGCTGACACAGATAGCACCTCCGATCGTTACTCAAAGCTGGGTGGTAAGGATCAGGGCGCCCTGGTCTCTCGGCTGTCACCACGGCGGCTCACACAGAGCTGTCTACCACACATCATTCCTGGCCTGTTTCTACCTGTCTCCCCAGCCCTCTCCTCCTATGAAAATGCCCCCACAGCCATGGACTGTTTCTGGGTGCCTACCCAACACTGAATCCTCACTTTGCTGCCAATGGCACCTTGATTCTCCTTTGTGGAAATTCACCTTTTTTTCATTCTCAGCCCTGGCTTGAGCCAATCGGGGTACCCACTCCATCTCCCTGGCCACAGAGACTGGGTTCATCACAGCACCTAGAAATGGTCATGCTACCAGGCACAGGGGAGGATTATCAGAACATATGAATCAGACATGTCAAATGGAAGCGTCACGTTAACCCCCCGGCAGTGAAACTGCCAGGGCTGCTAGAGGATTCAAGGCAACAGCGAGGTTCCCCAACTAGATGTGCATGCACGTGCTTACTACGAGTTCAGAGAGCAGTGGGAGGCTGCACTGCGGGAAGCTTTCATTGCTGAGGGCACTGCCCAGAGTTCAGGAGCCGTTCAGAAAGGAGAGGCTAGGAAGTGGCTTTACTTTGGTGACAGGCCTTCTCCAGGTTTAGGAAACTGGCTTGAAAGACAAAACAAGGGTGCTGCTATCGGCTTCTCTCCCCGCCTGCAGACTCCCAGGCCACATGCTAAGTTCTCCCACTGCAAGCCCAGTCCCCCAGGGCCTCATCCTTCTGGTGTTTGTCAGTGAAAGGGGGACAGGGAGCCTTTTGCAGAAGTGGGTTCCAGGATGCAGCCACATCTGCCTCTCCGGGACCAAGAGGTTCAGGGCAATTCAAAAGCACCAAGCTTTCAAGGGGAAAAACACTAAAAACGGGGAAGAAGGGAGAAAAAGATTTCAGAGTTGGCTCTTAGACATCAACTAGCACAAAGTTCCATTCTGTAAGTAACAAAGTGGGGGCCTCAGAGGGGAAGCACAGTACTTGCTAGACGCCCTCAATGCGGCTCTGCCAGGGGGCTTCTGAAAAGTCGACAGAAAGGTAAACTGGAGTGAGTGGCAAAGCTGGGCTCGGACCACCCAGACCTCACCACTGTTCTCTCCCCGGTGCTAACGTCCAGGCTGGAACAGCGCTGGTGAGGCCGGCAGGTGTGCTGGGTGGTGAGCGCCGGGTCCCCTGTGCCCCCTCCCCTAGTCTCCAGGCACTCACGTGTTTAAAACAGCCGACAGGGGCAGCCTTGTAACTGTGATCCTTCAGGAACTTCCCCCAGTCGAAACCCAAGACCAGCGCTGCAGAGCAGAAAGTGGGGAGTTGAAGAGTGGAGGCTCAGAGCCCAAGCAGATGCCACTCCAGGGACCTGGCACGAGGAGCCTGCAGAAGCGGGTCCTTCTCCACCCCAGCAGCATCTTGAGGCCACCTGTCCCCATATCTGCCCCACCAGTGGCCATCAGGACCTTATCCACAGGCTACCAGACTCTCAACAGTAGAGGAAATATTCAGAAGGAAATGCCTGACCTTTCTTCCCCCAAAGAAAAGGAAATTCAAAGACCCTTGAGCTTTAATTCCTCAGACCTCCCCCGACCTCTCATTGGCTAGAGCCAATCTAAAAGGGCGGGAGGGAGGTGCCCTCACCAAGGCCCTTCCAACCCTCTGGCCTGTGGAGCACTATTTCAGTCAGAAACTCAGACCCCCCTAGAGCCAAGTTACTTTCTGCCTAGTTTAATTTGCTCAGAAATTGCTACACACACTCAGAAAGTTTCCTTTTCTTATCCCCACCCCCCCACCCCTCTTCAAACTAGATCTGGGTTCTCATTGCCCCGGAAACAAACCATTGGGCTAAAAGCAATGCAAAACAATAGAGGCTAATCCTTAGCTTTTGAGTTATCAGGAGTAGGGTCCTGGCAACTTCAGGGTTTTTCCTGGGATAATGTCCATCATGCCTACCAGGTGAGGGAGATGCCGTTCACAGTAAGCCTGGGTCAGGGTCCTTCCTAGCCGGCCACCTTTTCCACTGCTCCCTCCTAGGGCAGGCCACCCCAGTCCTGGCACCCAGAATCTTCATTGTCCTCTGCTGTCTTACCGTCTTGCCCCGTTGGTGTCCCATCTGCTAGTTGTCCTGTCCCTTGCGAGTGGAGGAAGGCTCCGATTTTGGCAGACCAGGCTGCTTTGTGCAGGACTTTAGCTTTCTTGGTAGGTGGTTTTCCCTGAAGGGAGGAGAGTATGTGTGTGAGGCCTACTGGCTAAGAATCTGCCTCTGGATTTGGACGGCCTAGGTTTAAATCCTGGCCTGAGTCCAGTTACTTAAGCTCTTTAGGGCTTGCTTCTTCACTTGTAAATCAGGATGATAATAATAACAATGCTTAGCTAGGAAGGGGTAGGGAGAATGATTACAGTATCTGCCTGGCACTCAACTCAGTAAGGGTTTAGCTGTTGTTCACCCTGGAGGGATTGGAGGGCGGGCTCAGGGCTGCAGGGCAGGGAGGGACACACGTTCTAGCTTTTAAACCTTGCTTTGTCCAGAAACATCTAACTAGTGGCTTCAACTCTCAGCTGTCCCCTCCTGCCAGTGCTCCTACAGATTTAAGGAAGAGAATGGGCTTCAGCGGGGTCTGGGAACTAGACCAGGAGGCCACCTTCTGTACCTACGAGTACATGAATGTTCTGGAAAGGGTCCATGGCTTCCATCAGGTGCTCAAAGGGGTCCCCCTCCCCCAAAGAGAAAGGGCACCGATCTGGCCTGTAATGTGTAACTTAAGCACTGATCAGAAAGGCCCCGAGAATTTATTAGCCATCAGTGAAGTAGAAGTGTGGGTTTAAAGCCCACACTGACCTGGGGTTAAATCCCAGCTCTTCAATTTTATTTGTGTGCCTTTGAGCAAGTTACTAAAAATTTTTGACCCTTTAAAATAGGAATTTTAAAAAATTGATTTCTTAGGGATCACTGGTTAGACTGAGTGCGCCATGCCCTTAGCAAGTACCCCTAAATTGTAGCTATTAACAATATTATCAGCTCACTGAGGAAAGGGATTTTTCTATGCCTTGACTAAAATCCACAAAACAAGGGAAATGACAGTAATGTCTCGCAAAGGTGAGACGGGGTATGAAGTACTAAGCAGAAGACCTGGCACGCAGTGACTTTCAATAAACATCAGAGCAGAGGGTCTGAAGCTTTGCTGCACGTTATGATCACCTGGGGAGGTCTTTAAAGCCTCTATGTCCAGGCCACACTCCAGCCCAATTAAATCAGAATCTTTGGGAGTAAGACACAAGCATCAATAAAGCTTTCCAAGTGATCCCAACATGCCATCAAGTTTGAGAACCAGCGTAGTGGACGGTGGCCATAGCTACCAGGAAACACAAGGCCAGGCACCTGAGATCCAGCTTGCAGCCTTGATTCTGCTGCTCTCATCCCACAGAGCCACCCTAGGGAAGACATTCTCCTCTCTGGACCTCAGCAGACTTATCAATTAATGAGTGCGTTAGACAACACATCAGAATCCTGCCATTTCTAAAAACTCTATGAATGTCAATAATTAGATATTGGTAAGACCTGGGTCGCTGCCTATGACAGGGAGTCAGAGAGGAGGCATCAACTTTCTAAACCCACTGGGGCTGATGAAGCTTGTGCCTGGTTCCCAGCTTCCTTTCAGAACATTTACAAAAGTGTGATGCAAAGACCAAGGGCATCAGGCTCCCCCTAGGTTCTTGTTTAAAACTTTTGAACACTTCAGACTCAGGGGTGAGGGTGGGGAATGAAGGGAACAAAGCTCCAGGAATCTGCAATTTAATGAGCTCCATAAATAGATCCCTCAGTCATCTAAAGTTTGAGATCATAATAAGTACCAGGAAATTTACAACCTCTGATGGAAGCGAGCAAGGTCCTTCCCAAGTTGGTTGTTCCCATCTCAGTACCCAGGGGCCCGGGAAGGGTCTTCCAAATGACCTCCTCTCACCTGTAATCTAGCCAAGATACTGGCTTTCTTGGAGTTGGAGGAGTAGCTCCTGGAACAGGAGACACTGCAGAATCTCTTGGTCTTGGAGAAGAAGGCTTCCCTTGTACCCACGATACCACACATCTCACAGACAGCTGGGAAGAAAACTTAGCACATGACTCACCTGATGCGGTCACCCCAAAATCCAACAAAATGACAGGCCCTTCAAAACCCGGGCACTGCATTAACCAGGTAAGTCCTGAATCTAGTTTACCTAAGATAAGCTGTTTGGCATCCCTTGGCTATGTGTCAACAGTGGGGCTAAGGAAAATCCATGAGGACTGGGGAAACAAGTGAATGATAGAAAGTTTCAAAAGAGGAAAATGAGAAGGAAAAAAGTGCTCAAGTCGCTTAACTTCTATGGTCTATTCTCATCTATAAAGAGTCTGAACTAGATCAGTGTTTCAACGCTGACTTCACATTAGAATCACTTGGGGGAACTTTTAAAAATGCCCAAGCCTGAGATTCTAATTAATTGGTCTGTGTTGGGATACTGGCACCTGTAGTTTGTTAAAAGCTCCCCAGCGGATTCTAATACACAGCCAGGATAGAGAACCCCTGGACTAGATGGTCTCTATTGGTTCTTTCTAGTTCTCAAGTTCTAAGATTCTAAGAGAATGGTTAGAAGATAGAAGGGAGAAAGATGAAAGGCGAGAGAGGAAGAGAAAACAGGGTGAATAGAAAGGAAATAATATTCAACTGGAAAAAAGTATTAGATTATTCTTCTAAAGAGTTTAGGTACCAGACCGACGGCTTCACAGGTGAATTTTACCAAATAGTCAAAGAAGAATTAACATATGTTCTTCTTCTTAACTAATCCAAAAAATTTAAGAGTTGGGAAGGCTCCCAAGCTCATTTTATGACGTCACTAGTACCCTGATTCCAAAACCAGCCAAAGATATTATTAAAAAAACAAACAAACTATAGGCTAATATCACTGATGAACATAGATGCAAAAATCCTCAATAAAATATTAGCAAAGTGAATTCAGCAATACATTAAAAAGATAAAACACCATGATCAAGTTTGATTTATTCCTAGGATGCAGGTTGGTTCAACATCCATGAATCAATTAACGTAATACACCACATAAACAAAATGAAAGATTAAAATCATATGATCATATCAATAGATGCAGAAAAAGCATTTGACAAAATCCAGCATCCATTTATAATAAAAACTCTCAGCAAAGTGTGAATAGAGGGAACATAGCTCAACATAATAAAGACCATATATTACAAATCCACAGCTAACATCATATTCAACACAGGGAAAAGCTAAAAGCATTCTCCTTAAGATCAGGAACAAGATAAGAATGTCCACTTTCACCACTTTTATTCAACATAATAGTGGACATCCTAGCCACAGCAATCAGACAAGAAAAATAAATAAATAAAAGGCACCTAAATTGGAAAGGAAGAAATAAAACTGTAATTATTTGTAGATGACATGATACTATATATGGAGAACCCCAAAGATTCCACCAAAAAAAACCTATTAGAACTGATAAATGAATTCAGTAAAGCAGTAGGATACAAAATTAATATTCAGAAATCAGTTGCATTTTTATATACCAATAACAAACTATCAGAAAGAGAAAGTAAGAAAACAATCCCATTTACAATTGCATCAAAAACAACAACAAAACAAACAAAACCCTAGGAATAAATTTAACCAAGGAGGTAAAAGTCTTGTACTAGAAAAATTGTAAGACACCGAAGGAAGAAATTGAAGAAGATACAAATACACAGAAGCATATACCATGCTCATGGATAGGAAGAGTTAACTATTCATACCATCCAAAGCAATCTACAGATTCAATGCAATCCCTATCAAAATACCAATGACATTTTTCAGAGAACTAGGCCAAATAATCCTAAAATTTATATGAAACCATAAAAAATCCCAAATAGCCACAGTCATCTTGATAAAGAAGAACAGAGCTGGAGGTATCATGCTACCTGATAGCAAACTATACTACAAGGCCATAGTAATGAAAACAGCATGACACTGGCATAAAAACATACACATAGATCAGTGGAACAGAATAGAGAGCCCTGAAATAAACCCATACCTATATGATCATTTAATCCAAGACAAACGAGGCAAGAATATACACTGGGGTAAAGAGAGTCTATTCAATAAATGGTGCCGGGAAAACTGGAACACCTTCTTACTCCATATACAAGAATAAACTCAGGGCCGGCCGAGTGGCGCGATAGCTAAGAACTGGCTTGGGACACCAGAGGGCCCCGGTTCGGATCCCACATATGAGGGCCAATGACACTGCCCTCCACAGCTAAGATGCTGAACAACAGCTCAACCTGGAGCTGGGCTGCCGTGAGTTGCCGGCGATGGCGTAGGCTGCAGCCCCTGTGGCAGTGGGTTGCCATGGGCTACTGTGTGTAGCCAGCAGCCAGCGTGAGCGGCTAGCAGCCACAGTGAGTGGCCATCCAGAAGCCGACGACTGATCTGCCTTGCCCGGGAAGAGCGCAATGATGGTGCCAGCTTAGGCCAGTGAAGCAACGTCCTCCACAACTAGACTGAAGAACAAAACGACAGCAACTTGTCTGTTCCCCTTACCCCAATTCCCCAGTGCTGTTCCCATCCCCCCAATTCCCCAATAAAAATCTTTTTAAAAACCTCAAAATGGATTAAAGACTTAAATGTAAGACCCAAAATCATAAACCCCAAAACAAGAAAATATAGGCAGTAAACTCTCTGACATTGCCCTTAAGTGATATTTTTTTGATATACCTCCTTGAGCAAGGGAAACAAAAGAAAAAAATAAACAAATGGAACTATTTCAATACATCAAGCTAAAAAGTTCTGCACAGCAAAGGAAACCATCAACAAAACGAGAGACATCTTACTAAATGGGAGAAGATATTTGCCAATGATACATCTGATAAAGGGTTAATATCCAAAATTTATAGAGAACTCATACAATGCATCACCAAGAAAACAAAAATTCAAGTAAAAAACGAGCAGAGGACCTGAATAGACATTTCTCCAAAGAGGACATACACAGGGCCAACAGGCATATGAAAAGATGCTCAACATCACTAATCATCAGAGAAATGCAAATTAAAATCACAATGAGAGATCACCTCACACCTGTCAAAATAGTTATCATCAATAAATCAAAAAACAAGTGTTGGTGAGGATGCGAAGGGAACCCTCATGCACTGTTGGTGGGCTTGCAAATTGTGCAGCCACCACAGAAAACAGTAGGGAGTTTCCTCAAAAAATTCAAAATAGAACTACCTATGACCCAGCAATTTCACTTCTGGGTATTTAGCTGAAGAAACCCAAAACACTAATTCGAAAAGACATACACACTCCTATGTTCACTGCAGCGCTATTTACAACCAAGATATGGAAACAACTGAAATGCCCATTAATAGATGATTGGATAAAGAACATGTAGTACATATATACAGTGGAATATTACTCAGCCATGAAAAAATGAAATCTTACTATTTGCGACAACATGGAAGGGCCTAGAGTAGCGGTTCTCAACCTTTCACAGGGGTCGCCTAAGACCATCGGAAAACACATATTTTCGATGGTCTTAGGAACCGAGACACCGCTCCTCTATCTGTCTCCAGGCCAACATGCAGATACGCCCACATACGAGTACCCGGCGACCCCTGTGAAAGGGTCGTTCGACCCCCAAAGGGGTCGCGACTCACAGGTTGAGAACCGCTGGCCTAGAGGGTATTATGCTAAGTGAAATAAGTCAGACAAAGACAAATACCATATGATCTCACTCATATGTGGAATTTAAAGAACAAAATAAATAGACTCATAGATACAGAGAACAAACTGACGGTTACAAGATGGGAGGGGGATTGGAGGGCTGGGTGAAAGAAGTGAAGGAATTAAGAAGTACAAATTGGTAGTTACAAAATAGTCACAGGGATGTAAAGTACAGGGAATATAGTCAATAATATTGTAATTATGTATGGTGCCACGTGGGTACTAGACTTATTGGGGGATCACTTCATAAATTATGTAAATGTCTAACCAATACATTGTACGCCTAAAACTAAAATAATATATAATTGGGAAAAAAAGACTCGCTCTAAACTACGGGGGGAAAAAAGTTTAGGTACCAAGCGTGTCCCCATAGACCACTAACCTGCCTCTTTGCATAGGCAGTCCACATGCTGGAGGCCCTGACATGGGGGTCCGGCAGCTGTCCCAGCATCACATCTCTGAAGCCAACTGGCTTCCAGCTGATCCATGGGGCTTCTTACCTGCTCACCCGACCCTAATCCTCTTACCCAGATGTAGGAGTATTCTGTATCTCCCTCGTGTCACTTCCAACCCACAAGCTGCTTCTTGTCCCTTCCTGGACAGTAACCAGCATACTTTAGCTGTCCTATCCTCTCAACATCCAAGCTTAGAAATCCACCAGCTAGTCACACACATGTAAAAGCGGCACCATGTTAATGACTGGCAACTAAATAAACATTAGTTGTATGAAAGAATGAATGAAAGCAGACTGCAGCAGAGGAAATGACCCTTGGGGATACTTGGTGTGCTTCTGTCTCTCTCACAGGTCCTTAACATCTGATTCCTGAGGTGTCAGATCAAACAGCCCTTTCCACCTGGATGCCTCGGCTCACGTGGCCTATCTCCCCTTCTCCCTCCACAGCCTCCAGAAACCTCCCCATCTTCAGGGACACTCTGAAGGCACCTGGCTCAGAACCACTGCCGTCCAAGGAGCGGGGAGTCCCAGGGCTGAGCAAATGCAGGGGAGAGGTGGGCAGCTCCCCTGCTTCTCTCTCCTCATTTTCTGCTTCACTTGACTCCTCTAGATAGGAGCTGCTTTCGCTGCCCGCACTGCTGTTATAACTCCGGAAACTGTCATAGCCACCAAAGAGCTCCAAGTCATCTTCCTCTTCTTCCTCCATTGCTTCTGAAGGAGGCTCCTAGTGAAAGGACAACACAAATCAGGCGGACGGAATCATGTTTGGCCTAGTGGACAGGGAGGGTGGCTGCAAATCTGCTGTCAGCTCCCTTCCCAGTTCTTGGTCAACACTCTTGGGCAAAATGGCAGGCAGGATCAAATACCCTTTGCAAACACCAATATCATTACTCTTGTTTATATACTTCTCAACCGCAATTGAAAGAAATAGATTAACAAGACAGTAAAAACATGTATTAAGAATTAACCAAGCTCCTTCTGTGGATTTTTAAGTGATGACATTTTAACATGATTCAAATAGAATACAGTGATATAAAAATGCCCTAGGAATGTATACATCTGGGAAAGATGTATACAGTTGGCCTTCTGTATCCATGCGTTTCAAATATTCAGAGAAAAAGTTTCATTCTTGCTGATGTGTGTACTATGTAGTTAGGCCTATGATAGTTGCGTCTGTACTGAACATACACAGACTTTATCTTTCTTTTCATTATTCCTTAAACAATACAGTATAACAACTATTTACATAGTGTTAGGTATTATAAGTAACCTAGAGATGGGAGATAGTATATGGGAGGATGTGCATATATATGCAAATACTACACCATTTTATATAAGGGACTTGAGCATCCAGGTGTGGTTCCAGAGGTGTCCTGGAACCAATCCCCTGCAGACACTGAGGGACAACTGTACGGGCATACCTTGTTTTATTGTACTTTGCTTTACTGCACTTCACAGATGTTGGGTTTTTTACAAATTGAAGGCAAGACTCTCCACCAGCAAAAAGATTACGACTCACTTTATTGCAGTGGCCTGGAACTGAACCCGCACTATCTCTGAGTTATGCCTGTATGAGAAACTCATTCTTCCCCCTTCAGCATATGTACACCAAAATAACCTCAACTCAAAACAATTTAAGTCAGAGAAAAGTTAGATTGGGACCCAGGCTGCCCTAAGGAGGATTTAGGAAGCAGAAGACACAACAGTTGCCGCATGTATACTATAACAGCTTTGGACTTCGCTTTGGCCCTAACCAGCTGTGGGTCCCTGGGCTAGTCGTCTAACCTCTTTGGGGCTCAACTTTCTCATCTATAAAATAAGAAAAATATTTGGATCACAGTAAGTAAATATTGCATATGAGACTACCTGGCATGTAGTAGAAAAAGTGTGAAGAGTTTGGGCATAAGGCCAGGGCTCAAATACCATCGCTACTTTTTCCTAGCTGTGTGATATGCAGCAAGTCAGTCTTTCAGTGTCTCAATTTCCCCATCTGTAAATGAGGATAATACCACCTATTTCATTGGCTTTGGGGGAGAAGTAAGAGTTGATACAGGTAAAGCACTCAGAACACTGACTTGCACATAGTAAGTGTTCAATAAATGTTGGCAATTATTACTGGTTAAAAGCATGGAATTTCTGGGCCGGCTGAGTGGCGCGATGGTTAAGAACTGGCTTGGGATGCCAGAGAGCCCCGGTTCAGATCCCACATATGAGGGCCAGTGACACTGCCCTCCACAGCTAAGATGCTGAACAACAGCTCAACCTGGAGCTGGGCTGCCGTGAGTCGCCGGCGACGGCGTAGGCTGCAGCCCCTGTGGCAGTGGGTTGCCATGGGCTACCGTGTGTAGCCAGCAGCCAGCGTGAGCGGCCAGCAGCCGCCATGAGCGGCCATCCAGAAGCCGGCCACTAATCTGCCTCACCCGGGAAGAGTGCAATGATAATACCAACATGGGCCAGTGCCAGTGAAGCAACGTCCTCCACAACTAGACTGAAGAACAAAAAGGACAGCAACTTGTCTGTTCCCCATCCCCCAATTCCGCAATAAAAATCTTTTTAAAAAAACCCCAAAAACCAACCAAACAAAAAAGCATGGAATTTCTAACCAGACTCGCCTGGGTTCGAATTCTGGCTCTGACACTTATTTATTATCTGTGTGATTTTGTGCAAGACAGTTAACCTTGCTGCTGTCAGTTTCTTCATCAGTACAACGGAGATATATAAGCTTTCTTTAAAAGTTTGTTATGTAGACTAAGACATAAAGCCTATATCTTTTTCCAGCAGTTACTGGAAGCTCTAAAAGTGTGAGCTATGGGGCAGCCCGTTAGCTCAGTTGGTTCAGAGCACAGTGTTCATAACATCAAGGTTGCTGGTTGGATCCCTACATGGGCCACTAAGCTGCGCCCTCCACAACTGGATTGAAACAACTACATGACTTGGAGCTGATGGGTCCTGGAAAAACACACTGTTCCCCAATAAAATAAAACAATTAATAAATAAAAGTGTGAGCTATTATTCTTATTCTCTACTTTATTATGACTATTCTCTTTCACCCCTGTAGAATTTTTGAGCGATTACATTTTATATTTACAACTGCACATGCAAATGTGCTAGAAAGGAAATCGAATTGAAATACAAGGTGACCAGAAGCCAAATGGTTAAAGGGCGAGTGAGTTACAGGTTGTAGTAGCGTGGGAAAAGCATAACAGGTCAAGTTTTGGGACCTGACGGACTTACTTAGTGCTAACCTTCTGCACTTTACAGATGCGTTGGAGAGTCTCGCACCACCTTTCTAAGCCTCAGCTATTTTAACCATAAAAACGAAACAATACCACAGGATTGTCGTGAGTATACTGGGGGATAATGCACGCGAACCCTCCAGACATGGAGTGTTTATTAAACTTTAATCTCACCTCACGTCCCACCAGGATATGAGAGGCCTCACAACCCCTAAAGAAACCAACCACAAGGCAGGGAGGACGAAGAAGATTCTGGAGCTCTCATATCCTGAACTCAGCTCCCCTTTTCCCAGACCAGGGGGGCTGTTCCTCCCTGAACTACTCGCCGGACGTCGGCCCCAGCAGTATCCGAGCAAAAGGCAACGCCGATCGCTTCTGGCCCCGCTCAGCCTCCGTTTACCCATCCTTCCACCCTCCACCCGCAAGGCGTCGCTAAAAGGCTTAAAGAAGGGTCTCCCGAGCGAAGCTCTCGGGGTTCCCTTCCCCCGACACAACAAGTCCTCTCCCTCTCACCTCAACGCCCCGGGGTTTCTCCATGGGACCTAACAGAGTTTCTTCAACCGTCACAAGGTGCAGGAAGCCATATTGGCCTCGCCACTTTCCCGGAGTGCACTCATTGGCCGCCTCCCAGAGACTCGGACCAATCACGCTGCAGGAAAGAGGAAAAGCCGATGCCGCGCTCGCCCGCGCTCCTTCTCCCCTGAGGCCGGAGAAGCCGCGGTCACTTGTGGAACTTGTAGTTCCAGGGTGGATGAGTGTGTGTGTGTGGGGAGGGGGGGCGTTGCTATAACGACGTGAAAATCGCTGAGTGCGGGTCCCGCCGTGGTCTACGCCAAGCTTTTCCCTTCACCCAGACCCCATTCTTCATTAAGCAATTATTGAGCACCTGCAATAGTCAGATACTGTTCCAGGCTCAGGAATAACCTCACATTCTCCCTGATTAGAAATTTAAAATGCTCTTGGGCCGGATGCCTAGCAGACTCATTTCCAATTCAGGCAGAAACTGGAATACTCTTATGTCCAATGCTATAAATGTCCCGGATGGTCAAAATCCTGTAACACTGTCTCTACATCACCATCTCCTGAGTAAAGTCTTGAATATGAGGCTCTCTGTCTCATTCCTTGGGATTTTCCACAACCTCCTTACACACTTCAGAATTCTAGGTGCTGTCGTGGAGCTTTACAAACATCTCAAACCTGGGTATGACCATAAACCTTTGAAAGACGAAACAGTGGCTCTTGGGGTTTAGACACTTTCCAAGATCACATAGGATTGGAATTTAAGGTTTAATCCAAATTCTTTCTCTATGCTATGCTGTGCTCTGATTGAGAATCTAAATGTAATAAGTAGAGGCTGAATATGTATTAAATATATTGCTAAATTTGAGGTCCACCACATAGATGTGAAAGTCTTCCTTGATTTCTTCAACATTTTCTACTTTGAGCCCCATATCCATGCTATCACCAATTGCTGTCGATTCTACCATTACAACATATCCTCATCCCTCCATCACTGCCACTTTAATACAAGACACAGCAACAGCCCTGCAACAGTCCTCCACTGGTCTGCTTGTCTGAACCTTCACCCTCTTGAATGCACACAGGTGATCTTTTAAAATCATAAACTGGATCATGTTCATTCTCTTGCTTAAAACCCCTAATAGCTTCCCCTTGCTCTTTGAATAAAATCCAAACACTCCACGAGAACTTCAATGACCTAGCTCCAGTTTTCCCTCCAACTTCCTCTTGTACCACCCTCTCCACCTTTTCCATCCACTCACCTCTTCTTCCTGTTCTTGACTGCCAAGCTTGAGTTGGCCTCAGGGCCCTAGCACTCGCTGTTTCATTTGTGTGGGAAATTCTTTCCATAGCTCTTCTCATGGATGGTTCTTCATTGTTCATATTTCAGATCAAACTCACCTCCTCAGGGACCTTATTTAAAGCAGCTGTTCTCTCCCGTCTGTATTTTCACCCATTTTACAGTCCTTGATAGCTTTTCTTTTTGTCTGAAATTATCTTGTTCATTTGTTTACTTGTTTATTATTGCCTATCTCCCACCACTGGAATGTAAGTCCCATGAGGGCAGGGACAGTCTGTCTTGTTCTCTATTGTATTTCCAGAGCCAAGAACAGTGCCTCACATACACTAGGTGCGTAATGACTAAAGAACTAGATAATAAGACTTCAAGGATTACAACAGGCTGCTTTTTTTTTAATTAAAGTATAATTGACATTATATTAGTTTCAGGTGTACAACAAAGTGATCAACATTTATATACCTTACGAAGTGATCACCACATTAAGTCTAGTAACCATCTGTCACCATACAACGTTATTATAATTGTCTGTATTTCCTATGCTGTACATTATATCCCCATGACACTTACTTAGTAACCAGAAGTTTGTACCTTTCAATCCCCTTCACTTGTTTTGTCCCCGTCACTGCACTCACCTCTGACAACCATCAGTTTGTTCTCTGTATCTATGAGTCTCTCTCTGTTTTGTTTTGTTTTTTAGATTCCACATGTAAGCGAAATCATACGGTATTTGTCTTTCTCTGTCTGACAACAGGCTGCTTCTCCAAGGCAGAGCACTAGATTGGGTAGCTGCCTATTCTGACCCTTGTGAACTGGTTTACCACTAACAGGGGTCCAGGGCAGTTCCTCCACCAGGAGACCTAGGCTTTCCTCCTCTGGACCTCACCTTCCTCATCTAGTAAACGGGATTAATTTAATCTCATTGAGCTTGAAAAATTCCATGATTTCAAAGTAGAATAAACAATTCAAGATTGAACATCAAACATGATAAACAGGTGGAATCTAAGTTTTAATCTGTAAAATGGGAATAATAGGACCACCTCATGGGGCTGTTGTGAGAATTAGAAATAACAAATGTGCAGCGCCTGCCACATACTGGGCACAGTGAATAGTAGTTATTATCATCCTATTAGATAGTAGAATGGCAGCAACTGGAAGGGTAAACCCGTTAAGAAGAAATACCATTAAGGGCCGGCCGAGTGGCGCGATGGTTAAGAACTCGCTTGGGATGCCAGAGGGCCCGGGTTCGGATCCCACATGTGAGGGCCAGTGACACTGCCCTC